AAGCGCCATATTCCGAGTATATTGTTAATGGAACAACATTAAACGACATCCGTAAGGAAGAGGAAAAAATCAGTGAGTTGGTGATTAGCACAGCAAAATTGTCAACTGAAAAGAGTCTTCCATCACATGGGAGAAAAGAAACGAATGGGCTAACAGAAGAACTCTTAAAAGCAATACCACCATCTAGCGATCGAACAATGATACCTCTACATGGTGGGTTAATCAGCTTTAGCCCAACATCAACAATATTCCATGTATCAGGAGGAGTTTCAAAGGCAAAGACAAGCTTTGATGTTGTAAAACCATGTTCTAAATATGCTGTAAATGGAACAACATTAAACGACGCACGTAAGATAAAGGAAAAAATCTCTGAGTTAGCGATTGGCTCAGCAAAATCGTCAACTGAAACGAGTCATCTATCACATGCGAGAACAGAAACGAATGGGCTAACAGAAGCATACTTAGAAGCCATTTCTCCATCTAGGAATCGAACAATGATACTTCTAGATGGTGAGTTAATCAGCATTAACCCAACATCAACAATATCCCGTGTATCAGGAGGAATTTTAAAGCAAAAGACAAGTTTTGATGTTGTAAAAGCGCTATATTCTAAGTATACTGTAAGTGGAACAACATTAAACGACATCCGTAAGGAAGAGGAAAAAGCCAGTGAGTTGGTGATTAGCTTACCAAAATCGTCAACTGAAGCGAATCATCCATCACATGGGAGAAAAGAAACTGGGTTGAAAGAAGCAATCTTAGAAGCAATATTACCATCTAGCGATCGAACAATGATACCTCCACATGGTGGGTTAATCAGCATTAGCCCAACATCAACCATTTTCCATGTATCAGGAGGAGTTTCGCAGCCAAAGGCATCTGGTGTTGAAGAATGGGCTCTGGGGAATATAGTTGTAACTGATGAAACTGGATCCAGCAACAGTGATGAAATAATTTATGGACGTACTAATGATCCATCAAAAGGCACTTTTGGAAAAGAAGTTTATCGTCCAAAAGGCAAATCTACCCACAAAGCAAAAATGGTTACAGACACAACGTCATCTACAAACAATCGGATATTGATAAAGTCAGAGCGATACACAGGATCCTTCAGTGACCTACTGATTGAACAAAATGGTGTTACGATAAAAGACTCAGGCGATAAGTTTTCTGGAAGTCATAGCTCCACCGCTGTTCAAGAAATGACAATGGTGGAAAAGCCGTTGACAGGTGAATTGCCGCACATATCATTTGATGAAAATTCTGAACAGTATCAATCTTCAGGTTATTTTCAATATAACGCAGTAACTT